GCCTCTCATCGCTGCTGGGCCAGAAGACAATGAAGGGTTTAAATTGTTTATTCCGTTGAGGGACCTGTCCCTAGCTCCAAAGTAGACCAGGGCCTCCAAGCTTCATGCCAGGCCTGGTGTATATTTAATCGTCTTATTAGGTCCCAATGGATGTGAGTCCCAGTAGGAAGTGTTAAAACCTCCTACTGAAGTTGCATAGGGCTTGAAGAAGAGTGGTTTTGGAGATAATGGATAAGCACGGTATTCCCTGGTTTAAAAATCCCTTTGTGTGTTCTCCTCCTTGCACAGGACTTCAAGTTCAAGAAAGGCCTTCTATATTCAAGATGGCGGACACCCCTAGAGGCAGCAGGGCCTCCAGAGCAGTAAAATCCCGCAGCGCAGCTCCATGTGCTTCAAGTAGTAAACAGAGAAAGCAGCCATTGCCAGCTAAGAAGGCCTCTAAGGTGGAGGAGAAGGATGCTTTCAGGCGCCAGAAGGCCCTAGCACATTGCCAAGGTACAAAAGGCCTCTAGGATCAGATCTCCAGAAAATGAAACTTCTCCAGCTTCTCATCATAGTGGGGTTGACCTTTAGGATCAGGAACCTGGACCTTCCTCCAGGACCATCGCCCAATCTTGGTCCCCTGATGCAGTTGGAGAGGAGGCCTTTCATCATCCCTCAGCTGAGGGAACTCATTATGGTGATCCTCAAGGAGGTTTCAGGGCTGCACCTTGGCAGGAGCAAGATTGCAATAGGCCACTTTTACTCCTACTTCTGCTGACCTCAGACATGCTGAGCCTTGTGAGTCAGATGTCCTGGTTAATCTGCAGCTCTTGATTGATAGGGCTATCAAAAAGGGTATCCCTGAAGGCATTCAGTGGTTTGTCTGGCATTCCTCAGTGGCACCTGAGGGTTCGGTGAGACTGTCCTGGGATCAGGAGGCTCTACTTTCAGAAAAGGGTTCCTTGATTCAGGAACATGTTTCTCCTTCTGCTTCGGCCAATGCTCCATCTGTTGCTGCTGAGCTTTCCTTGATAGGTGAATCAGACAAGAGGGAATCTGACATGTCTGAGGATGAGGGCCTTACCCCTGAAATTCCAGTGTTCATAGGCTGATTCACATTATTCATCCCTTTGCTATTCAAAGCTAGAAACATGGCCAACCTGAGGAATATGGATGATGAGAATGCTGCTGCTCAGCCTCCCATGGAGTCGGATGTTCTCTTCAACGAACTTACTGTGAGAAAGGAGGTGGTCCCATCTCCCAGGCTCTTTCTGAAGATCATTCAGAAGCAGCTGGAGTCACTTGCTACAGGGCCCAATCCTTTGTCTTTGGACTGCAGGTTTTTCAATGTCACTCCAGAGCTCACCAAGAGCCTCCAAGTGCCCATGGTGGATGCACCTGTAGAAGCATTGGCCTCCACCTCTTCGGCTCCTTCTAATCCGGAAGATGTCCTCAAGGCCGAGGAAAAATGGATTGAACAGCCTCTCCAGAGTTCACACCAGGCAGCTGCCTGGATGGTCAAGGCATCTACAGCAGCCTTGTTCTTCACCACAACATCCCTTAAATGGTTGAAGCAGCTACAAGAGAGAATTCCTGCGGCAAACATGCAAACCCATCAGGATCTCAGTAAGATTGTAGCTGTGGCTGAATTCACAGCAATGCCATTCTTCACGGGGCCAGGTTTGCCACCAAAGCTGTCGCTTCTTCTGTTGCAGCCAGATGCATGTGTTGGTTGCGTAATTGGCAGGTGGACGGAAGGAGGAAGTGGAAGTTAGCATCTACCCTTGTGCGAGGGGACAAGCTATTTGGAGAAGCTTTAGAACCATTCCTGGTTGAAACCAAAGATAAGAGGAAGGTGCTTCCATCGCTTTACAAGAGGGCAGAGAACCAACCTGCCCCATACTTCAGGTGCCCTTCTTTCCAGGCAGAATCTGGATCTAGCTTCCATCATTCTGCCAAGGCCCCCTATCAGTGTCCTGAGCCTCCTTCAGATCGTTCAGGCAAGGGCAGTCAGCAGTTCTCGGGCAAGCAGCCCTTTCGAGGAGGAGGAAGTCGCCGGTACCATCTCCAAAACTAATTGTGCTCAGTCTTTCCCCATTGGCAATGTTTAGCTAGATTTGCTGACAAATGGGAAGAGATTACATCGGACGCCTGGGTGATAAGTACAGTAACATTGGATCTTTTGCTAGAGTTCTACTCCACTCCACGGAGGTTTTCCATCTGCCCTATTTCTAGGGATATGGTGAGAAGGGGGCTCATGGAATCAGCTATCCAGCACTTGCGGGAGCTCAGAGCCATCCAAAAGGTGCCAGAAGACCAACAGGGGAAGGGTTTTTATTCCAGACTCTTTGTCATCTCTAAGGTCTCGGGAGTGGGGGTGGAGAGCAATTCTTGATTTGAAAAGGCTCAATAAATTCACAGTTTACAGGCGTTTCAAAATGCATTCCCTCCAGACTATTCTGAGAGCTTTAGACAAGGGGACTTCCTCATTTCCATTGATTTGACGGAAGCTTATTTACATATTCCGATCTGTCACTCCCATAGAAGTTTCTTAAGGTTTTGTTATCAGGGGCAGCATTTTCAATATAGGGCTCCTCCCTTTGGGTTATCTTCCGCCCCTAGAGTTTTCACCAAAGTTTTGTCTACCCTGGCAGTGCAGAACTGGAATTTTTATAGGCTGGTTTGGATAGAGACCTTTCTCCCAACACCCTTCAGCGTCAGGTGGCAGCTATTTCTTTGGTGTTGACTTGTGGCAAGTTGGAGTCCTTAGCACAGCATCCTACAGTCCATAAATTCCTCAGAGGGGTGGCCAATCTCCACCCTCTTGTAGTACACAGGTACTCTACATGGGATTTGTCTAAGGTGTTGTAATCCCTGACTAAGGTTTTGTTTGAGCCTCTAAGATTGGCTAGTCTGCATCTTCTTAATCTGAAGGTAGCCTTCTTGGTGTCAATCACTTCATCAAGAAGAGTATCTGAGTTGGTCACGCTCTCAGTTCGCCCAGATTCAGCATTTATCCCCAAAGTCAACACCTTGTTCCACAGGTCTCAAGAACTGGTTCTTCCAGATTTTTGTCCCAAACCGGTCCATGACTTGGAAAAAGCTTGGTACACCCAAGATGTGCGCAGGGTACTGAAGATCTATATTGAAAGGACATCTGAATTCCACAGAACAAGATCCTTTTTTGTTCCTTCCAACCTTCCACATTGGGGAGAAAAGTGACCCCATCCACAGTCATCAGGTGGATCAAGTCATTTATATCCAGAGCATACTTGAGTTGTTCCCTCCCGGTACCCAGAGGCATTACGGCTCATTCCACTTGCAGTGCTGCAACAACTGCAGCCTGGGTTACGCAGGCTTCAATTGAAGAAGTCTGCAAGGCGGCCTCTTGGACATCCCTATCTCCTTTCATTTGCTACTACCGTCTGGACGCCTTTGCTTCAGTGGACGCTGCGTTTGGCAGAAGGGTTCTGCAAAGAGTTGTCACGGAGCATGGGAACCAGGAGCAAGGGAGAATGGGCGTTTTCTTACCTGGATGCCATTTCTCCTTGTAGGCAAGACAGGTCAGCCCCACCCTAATGGAACTGGTCCATACTGTGGGCCGATGGGATGGGGGAGCTGATAACGGTCCCTTATTTGTTTTTTCAGAGGCAATCCTGTCTGTCATGATGGCTTCGCTGAAAGTTGGGAGGAGCCACCCAGAGTGGGTGGAGCTAGGCTAATCAGCCTTTTTAGACAGACTCAGTCCAAGCAGCTAGGATAAGAGCAACCCACTCCTGACCTGTCTTGCCTACAAGGAGAAATGGTGTTCAGGTAAGACAATGCCCAATTTCCACAAGCCAACTTTGGAAGCTACAGTAATTCTGTCCTGTATCAAAGAATATGGTATGAGTTCCATTAATAATTTAGAGTTTCCCAAAATGAGGCAACCTGGGAGTTGGAAGAATCAATTGATCAGTTATCTGGTCAATCTTGAATCTGCAGGAAGGTCATCCCATAATTGGGAAGCTGTGAATAGTAGCCCCTCTAAGTGAGCAGACTTATCCATACTCAAATTGAACTTGGAAATTTGTTAATTAGTATGTTTTTATAAAACCAGAAGTATTATGATCACAGTATCATCTTTAATTAGCTGCTTAAGTGTTGCATTTTGCCTGAATTGAAACTGATGAATGCTCTCTGTAGAAAATGCAGCAATGTACAGGTAGTCCTTGATTTACAACAGTTCGTTTAGTGACTATTCAAAGTTACAACAGCACTGAAAAATGTGACATATCACAGTTTTTCACAGTTATGACCTTTGTAGTATCCCCATGATCATGTGATAAGTTCAGATGCTTGGCAGCTGGTTCATATTTATGACTTTTGCTGTGTCTCAAGGTCATGTGATCCCCTTGTCCAAACTCCTGATAAGCACAGTCAATGGGGAAGCCAGATTCTCTTAAGTTACTTGTCAACTGCAGTGATTCACTTAACAAGTGTGGCAAGAAAGTTTGTAAAATGGGGTAAAACTCATTTAACAGCTCTCTCACTTAACAACAAATTTTTGACCCAATTGTCACTGTAAGTTAAAGGCTACCTATAATTATGAAATCAAAGTATTGAGAACTGCACCCAGATCACATTGACTGGTTGTATCTGAGGTATGAGACATAGATATACAAATGCTTCTTGTCCCCCAAGATCTAGAGAACAGCATAGAATCAATAGGAATTTCTAAGCTACAAACCTTTAAGGAGAAATGTGTTAAATTTTTGGAAAATTTCAGAGCCCTAGGCTGAAATCTGAAATGAACTTCTGAGAAAGAAAGGTTAAAATCAGATACCAATTTTATTCTCTCTTTGACCCATCATCTAATAAAATGATTTGTTAACTCGTGTGTGGTTTATCAATAACAGAAAAGAATTCTTGCATACAACTATATATTGTTTAACGGTTTCAATCTCCATGGATTGAAATGTTTACATAAATTAGTCAGATATTATTGTAATCTCTGCTGTTGTGAATTTTTTAACTAGGAATTCCTGTACCTACCATATGAGGCTGTAACAGAGATACAAGAAATTATTTGAGCATTTAGAGAAGGAAAGAAGATAGTTTAATGGTAAGTTAAAGTCTTCTATTTCTCTTTAATGTGGATATTACTCTTCAAAATAGTAGTTGGCTTAGGTTAGTCTACAAAGCATGGAACAATAATTTAAAATATGTTTTTATTCAACTATGAATTTGACTGAAATTATGGAAATATAGGCATGGGAAAGCAGTTATTAAAAATACAAGAAAGGATTTATAAGTTGGAATGGCATTCAAGGTGTGATTCTTTGGTTTGAGGGGAAGATGTACACTGATACATATGGAGGACCTCCAAAGTCCCTTCCAAGTCTTGTTCTGTGTTCTATGTCAATTCAATTTTGTGTGTCCTGTGATTCATACATTGGAGAGTTTTCTCCCTGTTGACCACCAGGGGGCAGGTTCTATTTGAATTAATATATTAAATGCTGGCTTGGTTTCCACCAAAAAAACATTAAAAAATAGTCAGCGTCACTTTAGTTTCTTTGAGGATGCTGAGAATTGAAACTATGATCTGGTACTGATCCTTGTTCTTGAGACAGCAGGGGTGCTTTTTTTCCATTATTGGGGATGGTAAGAGTGGGAGGAATATTCTGATTGCAATTTCCTTACTTGGGCTAACAAAATGGTGACTCAAGTTACTTTGGGGGTTACTGTTGGGGAATCAGTAACAATTTCTACTAGATACTCTAATACACCTTTTGGGCACCAGGAACTGGTTCTGTGGAGAAAGGTTTTTCCGTGGACCAGAGAGGGTGTGGGTTAGGGTGATGCCTGCTTCTCCACTGTGTCAATGGGAGAATTCAGATTAGGGTAGTCTCTTGTCTCGTTGCTCTTCAGACTGAGTTGAATTCTGAGGACACGCCTCCCTGTTAACGGTCCCCAGTTTTCAACTCAGCTCGTTCGGACATCTTCCTTAGAGACTCTGAACCTCTCAAAGGACTTCCAATCCCTGGATTCTTTCGATTGACAATAACTGGAACAGAAGGGAATTTGACAGGCAGGCTGTCCAGCTCTGCCAGGAGGAAAGCCTTGTGCCTGACAGGGACTTAAGCTGTGGACCTTCAGACTGGCCAGAACAGCGACTGAGACCCTCCTGGTGCATTCTGTGGCTGTGGAAGCGGGCTGGAGTCCCTGATCAAGCGTTCGGTCACACTCCTGCTTTTAAATTGCCATGGCAGCCGTGTTTCTGCGTAAGCCTGCCTTTCGGTCTGCGACGAAGTTCAGGTCCCGCTGGCAAGCACCCTGGCTGTTGCCATGCCTGCACCTGGAGATTGAGATTCTGGGGATCTCCAAATCACCGTGACAGCTGCGCTAACGCATAAGCCTGCCTTTTGACTTGCTGCAAGGCCAGCATTCCATTTGCAAGCTACTGAAGTTACCAGGCTTGCCAAATAACCCCAGGACTGTGCCGCAGCTGTGGAGGGGCTTTTCGGAACAGTTTTCCATCTGCAAACGCCGCTGAACAGGCAGCAGAACTTTTCAAGTGTGTCTGCCCATTTACCAGAGGGAATTTGACGGACAACTGACTGTGAGTTTGGCGTTAATTTTGGCGTGAATAGGGTGGAGGCTGGTGGAGCTGTTTGTGAGGTGACCGCCTCTCAGCAACAGGGGTTCATGTCACCTTTGTCTCATAGGATTAGACATATTAAGGGATCAGCTAAGGCCAGATCAGCGGTCAAGATTAGGGTCAGAGCACTTGCTCCCAAGAAGCCCACCAGGGCTGAAGAGAAGCAAGCTAGGCGAAGGCAGAAAACCTTAGACAGGGAGTTTGAAAAGGCTAGAAAGGATTTAGAACAGGCTTGTCCAACCCGTGGCCCATGGGCCGCATGCGGCCCAGGTCGCCTCGTAATGCGGCCCAGTGCCCACCCCAACCTTCATGCCAGAGCCAGCGAGGAGGAGGAGGAGAGGCAGGCGCGAGGCGGGGCGAGGCAAGCGCCAGGCCAAGCAGCAAGAGAAAAGGCGGGCGCCGTCAGAGCGCCACCTCCTGCTGTTGCCCCCGCCTCCACCGCTTCTGCCCCCGCCGTCACTGCCGCTGCTGCCGCCGCCGCTTCTGCCCCTGCTGCCGCTTCTGCCCCCACCGCCCCCACTGCCGCTGCCCCCGCCTCTGATTCTGCCCCCCCGCCGCCGCCACTTCTGCCCCCGCTGCCGCTGCCGCCGCCGCTGCCACCCCCCCGCCGCTTCTTCCCCCGGCACCGCTGCTGCTTCTGCTCCCGCTGCCCCCGCGGCGGGGGCAGCAGCGGTGGTGGGGACGAGGCGGCGGCGGCGGGGGAAGGCTTCTGCCCTCACCGCTGCTGCTGCTTCTGCCTTCCAGTCCTGCCTCATCCAGCCGGGCCATTTGCAGGAGGAGAGGTAGGCGCGAGGCGGGTGAGCTTTCTCCCCCCCCCCCCCCCCCAAAAAAAATTTGGCCGGAAAATAAACCATGATAAAAAAAACTGTGATAAAAAAAACCATGATAAAAAATAAATAATTTTTAATTAATAATTAATAATAAATAATAAAAACATCTCACTAACTTCATTTCGAAATAAATTTAATATGTTAACTATGTTTTCTATGGTTTTTTTGGATGATCAGGTATCGTTACTGTTATTTTATTTTATGTGCGGCCCAAACCAAATTTTCATCTTCTAATGTGGCCCAGGGAAGGTGAAAGGTTGGACACCCCTGATTTAGAACATCAGAGGCAGTCTGAGTTTAATATGGCTGACAACATGTTTCCTGCCATTTTTCTGATGACAGATCACAACCAGAAGAAGCTGCAGGACTCAATAGACTGCATTTAGAAGCCCGGTCACTAGGGGGCTCTAGCGAGCAATATATTCAGCAAGGCCTTCCATTGCCTTCAAACATCCCAGTATCTACTAATTCTCTGGCAGGAATGGCTTGCAGCTGCTGGAGAAGGGGAGCAGCTTATTACAAGGATTTTTCAGAGGATGAAGGAGAATCACCCCAGCCTTCAAGGGCCTATTCCATCCCAACGTATTTAAGCCTCTGCTTTTCAAGGCAAAGAGCATGGCTCATCTGAGGAAGGAGACGGTCGTCCAGGATCCCCCTCGAGATGGGTCTGATCAAGAGAACTTCATCTTTACAGAAAAAACTACTGAGGTGGATGCTGTTCCCATGCCCAAGATGTTCCTTGATGTGATAAGGAGACAGTGGGTCACTGCCAGGGATATACTCTCCCGACCCAGCAGTTCGGAGGCTACATTTTTCAACATAGACCCTGAGCTCCTAGATGCAATTCAGTTCCCAACAGTGGACACTCCAGTAGCAGTCTTGACTTCCTCATCCGTCCTGCTACCAGATGCAGAGGATGCATTGAAAACAGAGGAAAGAAGGAGGAGATGTCTCTTTGCAGAGCACATCAAGCGGACTCCTGGGCAATTAGGGCTTTCATGGTGGCATCCTTCTTCACTTGGGCCTCCTTGCGTTGGCTCAGACAGCTACAGGGAAGGATCCCAGCAGAGGATCTTTGCGTACACCAGGACCTCAACAAGATCATCGCAGCTGCTGAATTTACTGTGGACGCCACGCTAAATACCAAGTTTTCTTCACAGGCCATTGCCTCTTCAGTGACGGCCTGTTGGATGTTGTGGCTCTGCCATTGGCAGATGGACAACAAGAACAAGTGGAAGGTAGCTTTCACCCCCTTCAGGGTGGAGAAGCTATTTGGGGAGTCTCTGGAGCCATTCTTAGTGGAGACCAGAGACAAGCAGAAGATTCTTCTGTCCCTGGGCAGGCAAGATGACTACCGCATCTCTCCCGATTTTCAGAGGCCCTCCTTTCAGCAGGGGGAGGATGGGGCTAGCTTTCCCCGACTGCAAAGGCCCTTTTTCTCTAGGCCCACCTACCAGGCTTACAAACCTGCATTTGGAGCCAGTGGCTGACAGCAACCGTGGGGCAAGCAGCCCTTTTGTGGCAACAATGGCAGGTCCTTCAGACGTCCCAAGTGACATTGGGTTTCATCCTTCCATAGGGGATCATCTTGGTCTCTTCGGACATTGATAGGAGGAGACCACGACAGATACCTGGATCAAGGAAACAATAGGAACGGGGCTTTCCCTAGAGTTTCACTCCTCACCTCTGAGATTTTTCATCCGCTTCCCTGTCTCCAGAGACCTGGCAAAGGGGTGCCTTATGGAATGCCATAGGGGTGCCTCCCCTATGGAAGGATGAAACCCAATGTCACTTGGGACGTCTGAAGGACCTGCCATTGTTGCCACAAAAGGGCTGCTTGCCCCACGGTTGATTCCATAAGGCACCCCTTTGCCAGGTCCCTGTAGTGGTTTCTGCTCCCCTATCAAAGGGCGGGCCAGGGCAACTCAGCGACGAGGGTTCAGGTGCCACCAAGGGTATTTTGCTCATTCCACTGGTGGCAGTCCCAGGTCATCGCCCGGGGTTGATTCTACAAGGAACCACAAAGACTGACGATCACAACCGATGCCAGCCTTTTGGCTCAGGGGCCCCACCTCAAATCCAGGTGACCCGGGGTGGTGGACACAAGAGTAATTACATCACAGTGTAAACTGGCTGGAACTCAGGGTGGCCCGTTTGGCCCTCAGAAGATTCTAGCAGGAGGTTTTGGGACAGCATGTCCTCCTTACAGACAATGTGGTCACCAAGGCCCACATCAGTCAGCAGTGGGGCACTCAGTCCAGGTCCCTCATGCAGGAAGCGAACCAACTGTGCTTTGGGAAGAGAGACACCTCCTATCAAAATGGGGAGAGCACATCTTGGGAGTCTCGAATGTGCAGGCAGACTAGCTCAGCAGGGCCACAGTCAATCAGTTGGAGTGGTGCCTGCATCCCAGTCTGTTCAAGGAGCTTTTGGGGTGGTTCGGCCATCCGATTCTGGATCTCTTTGCCTCTCCATCGAACACTCAACTTCCAAGATTATTTGCGAGGTTTCCAGCACCAGGGCAGAAGGACTCAATGCACTACGCTGCCTGTGGCCCCAGGGCCTGTTGTATGCCTTTCCCCCCTTCCCCTGATTCCAGGGATAATCAGAGAGGGCAGGGGTTTTTCTGTTAGCTCTCCACTGGCCCAGATGACCGTGGTTTTCCGATCTGGTCAGCCTGTCAATTTCCAGGCCTTGGAGGATCCCCCCGGACAGAGTCTCCCTCAGCCAGAGTCCCATCAACCATCCAGAGCCCCAGTGGTTCCAGTTGACCATCTGGCACTTGAACGGAAACTTCTGAGACTGGAGAAGTTCTCCAGTAAGTTCATACAGACAATCCAGACAGCCAGACGACCTTCCACTACTCGGATTTATGATGCAACGTGGAAGATTTTCTGCGGTTCTGGTTCAAAGTGCCACATTGATCCCACCTCAGTGTCGGTGGCACACATGCTGGATTTTCTACAAGAGGGTCTAGACAAGGGTGTATCCCCTAATGCCTTACGACGGCAGGTGGCAGTCCTGATTTCTATGATGTTGTTCAAGGACCTGAGCTTTCTTGCCTAGGGTGTGGGCATTTCTTAGGGGTGCCATGAACTTGAAGCCTCCAGTGGTGCACCTGGGACCTACCAAAGGTATTGCAGGCTCTTACTTCTGCACCATTTGAGCCCCTGCGAGAGGCCAGCCTATGCTTACTGATGTTCAAGGTGGTTTCCTTGTGGCCATTACATCTGCCAGACAGATTTCAGAGTTGGCGACCTTATCTGTGAGAAAGGATCTTTGTGTTTTATATCCGAACAGGGTGGTTCTGTGGTTGGACCCTGCCTTTCTGCCCAAGGTGAATTCATTGTTCCATCGAACACAGGAGTTGATCTTGCCTGATTTCTGTCCAGGGCCTAAACATGCTCTGGAAAAGAAATGGCACACCTTGGATGTTAGGAGGGCCCTCTGCATTTACATCCAACGAACCGCTTCCATCAGGAAGACAGAGTCCCTGTTCGTATCCTTTCAGCTGTCAACTCTGGGTCACCTTCCACCATGGGTCCTTGGCTACAGGCATGGCTGTAGCCAAGGCCTACGAGCTTCAAGCTCTTCCAGTGCCCAAAAAGATTACAGCGCACTCTACCAGAAGGGTGGCCACAATGGCAGCTTGGGCAATGCAGGCCTCTGTGGAGGAGATTTGTTGAGCGGCGACATGGTCATCACTGTCATCATTCATATAGTATTATAGACTAGACACTTTTGACTCTGCGGAGGCAGCCTTCAGCAGGTGCATCCTGCAAGGAGTACATGTTGAGGCGGGGACTCCAGACCAGACCAATTCCTCCCCGTAGGACAGCCAGCTTTGGTATGTCCCAATCTGGATTCACCCGTCAATACAGTGGAGAAGGGCTGTTGGTCTTCCATGAGACGCCCTTTCTCAGGGAGTCGGTGGGAGAATCCAGTTCCACCCGGAGGACTGCCTGGTCTAGAGACCTGGAGGGGCTACCTTTGGAGAAGGACAACAGGATCCGCTTCAGCTTCGTTTCAACTGGGGACTGTTACAGGGAGGTGCGTCCTCAGAATTCAACTCAGTCTGAAGAGCAACGAGACAAGAGACTACCCTAATCTGAATTCTCCCGTCGACTCCCTGAGAAAGGGTGTCTCAGGTAAGACCAACCCCCGTATCATGGATGGGGCTTCACTTGTTTGTGTAGCCTGTGGCTGGTATGCCACGGACTGGGAGTTGGGGATCCCTGCTCTAATAGGAATGTTAAACTATGTGCCAAGCCTTTGCCTAAATTGGGTGATGGAGTGGATGAAGATCGATAAACGGAACCAGAATCAGTATAAGATAGAGACTGAGCCGGTTTGGTTAAGGCACCAGGCGAGAAAGTGGAAGACTGTGAATTCAAGTCCCACCTTAGTCATGAAAGCCATCTGGATGACTTTGGGCCAGTCCATCTCGCAGCCTAACCCACCTCACAGGGTTGTTGTGGGGAAAATAGGAGGAAGAAGGTGTCTTGGATGTTGGATGCCTGGAGTTATTCATAAAAATAAAGGCTGAAGATAGATAGATAGATAGATAGATAGATAGATAGATAGATAGATAGATAGATAGATAGATAGATAGATGATAGACAGACAGACATTTAAAGGCAGGACTTTGATCATGCTGGCTAAGGAATTCTTGGAGTTGAAGTCCACAAGTCTTAAAGTGGTCAAGTTTGCACATCCCTGCTATAAAGCAATGGTGAGCATACTTAGTGCTGTAATCAGAGTGTAACAGTTGAAAGTCTGAGTAATCCATGGGGAAATGACACACCATGCAGCAGTGTCATGCAGTTGGGGTGGTGTTTCACAGGATGGGGGAATTTGCCCTTGTTTTTTTCTTTAGCATGTTCCTGTTTTAACTTTTTTTTGGCTACATCATGCATTTTCTAATTCAGGAAAAATGGGCTGCAAATGTTTAGCAGTGTGGCTAGAAGGGCTGGTTGTGGGAGCTGAAATTTCCCATGCTTATAGTAACGATAGCTCCACTCGTATCGACAGGAATCAATACATCTCTGATTAATTATGTAAATTATGTCCAAGCCTTTGGGTGATTTTTCTTGGACTAAGGTTTTTTTCCCTCTTGAATATTAAGTTGATGAATGCTATACAGGAGAGTGTGCCTACACTACATATCAAACAGCATATAACATTATAATGAAGTTTACAGCTAATACTTGTAACACTGTTGTTTTGACAATGTTTATAAATTTTAGGGATGTAAAAAAGAGCTTTAAATGCCTGTCTTGCTTTTGGAAGTTGTGTTGTAGGCAACTGGTAAAACATTTCTTTTTTTAATGGTCCTGGAATTTAGAAATGGTTTTGTGCACTCAAAAATGATTAGTTCAATGTTTAAATTTCCTATAATCCCCATAACATTTTGAAAGGTTGATTCATGTTCTTGCTGTTGCTACTATCCCCGTGCCTATTGCGACCCTGAGACAGATAATGCTTTGTTGATTTCCATGTATTTGATGCTTCATGTGCCCTTGTGCCACTGAAATAATATATCTATTGGTTCCAGTGGAATATTTGGTCCTGGTCTTTGATCCCTGCAGGAAGTTAAATGAGATTCCTTGCTTCTGATGAACTTTAGGAATGTTCTTTTCATTGCTGTTGTTTGGAAGTCAATTCTTGGCTTTTGAACTCATCACGAGAAAATGCTTGTCCACGTCTCTGAATGAAGGACTTTCAAGCACCCTTTAATTTATGCTGTTCATTTGTAAATTAGATAGATTGGTGGGACCATTTCTTGATACAGTTGCCTGAATCAGAATAGAAGAGTGTGTAGAATCACGATGATCAGCTGTTATATTTTAACTTTGTTAAAAACAACATATTGTTTTTTAATTTTTGATTTTGTTATTTTGTGATGCCTAATTGCTGACAGGAGAGCCAGTCTGATGTGGCGGTTAAGGCATCAGACTAGAAACGTGGAAGACTGTTTCAGTCCTGTTTTAGGCTTAGAAGTCAGCTGGGTGACACTTTTGCAACCCTAACAGGACAGCGAGCAGTTGTTGTAGCCACACTCACGCTTAAGTTGAATAAATAAATAAATCATGGAAGACCTTTTTAAAAGACTTGAATAGCAACTTCATTAAGCTATGTAACCAGGACTCAGGCCATTCTAAAATGCATGTTTTCTCTGAAGTGCACTAGCAGCCCCACCAGTCAGTCGTGACTGCTGAAAAGCAATGTTTAGGTAAGGATGCCTGGTTGCTAAGCAACGGGCAGCAAAGGCTTAAACACTTAAAGCTGTAGTGCAAAGTTTTCACTTCAGATGATGACATCTTTGCAGATTACAAATGGGAAGCTGTTAGCACTGGATGGCTTTCTCCTTAAATTGCTTTGTGTGTATCTGTGTCTGTATGTGTGTGTGTGTTGTATTTACAATAGTATTGCTGTACTATAAGGAAGTTTAAAATTTGTGGGATCCTTGATGCTCTCTGAGCGTGGTGGTATTGTTGCAGATGTTTCATACCAAACCAGGTAATATCAATTTTAAATTTTACTACACCATTTGACAAATTAGCATTATTTATAGATTTTTCTGCTGAGATAGCATAGGAATCCAATCATAATCTCCCTTTGATTCTGACCAATCAAAGAGAAAAAGGACATCATTTGTTTTAATAGTTTTGTTTGTGGGTAATGTATTTTTTCATGACTTTCTTTCTGTTCAGAACAGGAAAGATCTTTTCAGAACTTTTAGTCAGGAGAAAGTTAATGTTTTCAGCAATCATAATGTTAATCCAATTGATAATCTCTTCCTCATGTGATAGTAACAACCTTTAATTTTTGATATTTGGATGTCAGCACTATTGATTGTGTCACTAAAATATCATAATGTTGAACAAAAGTGAGACATTAGCATATATAGGATAACTATTGACAAAACAAATGCAAAACGCACACATAACAACCTTCAAGGGGGGAAAAGTCTCTAATATGGGGAACTCCCCAGGTACTCCAATGACTAAGGAATACTGTCCCAAAGAGGACTGTGATTTCTCTCAAAATGTAAACCACCTTAGAATGATTAATGGCAATAAAAATCATATAGGATTACTTCCTCAAAATGTTTTTCACATGAAAGTACCCCTAGATCCTGGTGGTTTTTAAAGGAAAAATGACACAGCTGAATTTTCTTAATAGCTTTCAGAGTTGACAACTATTTTTTTTTTTAAAAGGAGATAGAAACTCCTGTGAGTCATAGAAGTGGGTGTGTTTCTGTGGAGAGAAGCTTTCATAACTCATCCAGTCCCTTAGCAGAGTCCAAAGAGTAAAAAACTGCTATACACACTATTTTTTTTGCCGAGAACGTATCATCTGTATTAGTGGTGTGGATGACAGGTAAGCCGCGTGCTTCCTCTAAAGAGAGTTGTGAGAATCTAGCCAGAGTGCCTTAGGAGATACATTTTTAAATTTGCTTTGTTCGCTTTGAGATTTTTTGGGGGGTATTTGTGACAATTCTTTTAGGTGCCTCTTCTTTATACTGTAAAGATAGGTGCCCATGATCTCATGAGATTTTGGGTCCATCAGTGATAGAATTTGATTAGAGTTCTGAACAAAGCAGGAAAAAAGAATTTTGGAAAAAAAGTGTATATTTTAATCTTCTGAGATTGATTTTGAAGAAAGAAATATTTCTGGAAAAAAGTGTATATATTTGTTTCTGCTATGCCTTTTAGAAGAGTAAGTTGTAGTTGTGAAAGTAGTTTGCAAAAAAGGAGAGGTGGGAGGATAAAATATTTAGCCCTTCATCTTTCAAAGATGTGATGGTGCCAGTTGCTTTTATTCCAATAAGTACATTGGGTCAGAAAACAAATACTATCGGAAAAGATATTCATGGGAAAAGAACAGGTAGCAGAATTAAGTGCCTCTTGTTAAGGTTGCTTTGCATTAACGAAACAAGTTTTCTTCATTTTGTTAAGTTTTAAAGAGTTGCTTGTTCTGCGTTTTAGGTTGTGCAACTTTTTATCCTTATAGCAAACAAGGGCAAACAGTTCATTAGTAAGAATTGACTACAATTGCTTATTGTAAAAAATGGCTGGGCAGATGATATGAAAATACCTATTCAGTAGATTCAAGGTTCTTATCTCTGTGATATATTTCACACTAACATTAGTTTACATAGTAATCTACACAGGTTCTCTTTTATTGCTTTTAATCTGTTTTGTTTTGTTATTTTGTGCTTTCTATATTTCCTGGAATTAGAATTGTGACTGCAAGTCTTTAGACAGAATTTTTTTATAGCCATAAATAACACAGATGCATACAGTGCTGATTGATCTGCTGGTTTTGCATTTTTCAATTACTTCCTTTTTTAGGATTCCTTTTATTTATATAGTGATTTATTTATTTATTTATTTATTTAATTTATATTGCCACCTATTCGCACATGGTGACTCAAGGTGGCTTACAGAATATAAAACCTCATTTAAAACAATAAAACTAATAAAAAGAATCAAATAAATTAATATAATATAATAAAACCACCCCTCACCTACCGCCCCGGCGACAGCAGATCACATGAGCCATTTAATGGGCTCCATCCCGCTCTGGGTTCCCCAGGCCCGCTGGCAGAACCAGGCCTTCAGCGCCTTCCGGAAGAGTGCTAGAGTGGGGGCCATTCTAATTTGGGGGGGGGTGATGTTCCAGAGAGAGGGAGCCACCACGGAGAAGGCCCTTCTTCTGGATCCCACCAGGTGTATCTCCCTCAGGGATGGGACCCGCAATATTCCCTAATTAAGGAGAGAAGCAACCTACAACTAAGGAGAAGTTTCCTGACAGTGAGAGCAATTAACGGCTTGCCTCCAGAAGCTTGGGTGCTCCATCACTGGAGGTTTTGAAGAAGAGATTGGACAACCATTGTTCTATTCGTTATGTCATCTGCTCTATCTCATATTCCAAGGTTACAGTTATCTTCCTTGTTTCCTGGGTTTTATTATCTTGTTTCATAGTTGCTCATTTTCAGTCTTTCCAGTTATATCATGCAATAAGTCCTTTATCTCCCTGGAATTCCTCATCATCGTGTTGTAAATGTTTCGGAGTAACATCATAATTTCTCTTCATGTCTCCAATTCTTCCTAATGGGCCATCTTGCTTTGTTTTAAAAAGTCCAAGTAGTATTCAGTGTTCTGTCAGCAATCTGTCACCGCTCTAGAATCTTATTCTTTTTGACTTTCCAAATCCAGCAGATTACTTTATCTTAGTATTGTCTATCAGGGAATGCAATAGCTATAGTTCTTTATATCACACAGTTAGTCAATAAATTCCATTTATACAATCCAGGGGATTTTCCCATAATTCTTAGATCCATCTTTTAATTTGCTAGTTCCAATATACAAAAGTCATTCCGTTAATCCAGGTTTTAAGGGTTGATTCTCTGGTCACCACCGATAAATATAGAGCAGTAAATAATATAGCAAATCTCCAGGTGTTACTCTTTCTTATGAGGGTTCCCAGGCTGCTATCATGCCTGGGGTATAACATAGAATATATCCATTCACCAGTAGATGGTGCCTTCAGGTTGAAAATCAGTGTTAAAAATCTACTTTAAAAGTATTATTTCAAATTATTTCAAACACAATATCCAAAAGCCAGTCAAATGTCCAGCATTTTAAACTGCCTATTCTAGGACTTGCCAGTAAGGTTTAAACATCCAGTCTTTCTATATTTTAAGCTTTTAGTGATTTCCTGTCATGGTGCAGTGTTTCTCTGCCTCTTGTCAACTTATAAAACATTCCTATCCCTGTTTTAGTAGTTGCCATTTAAAAAAAAAGGGGGGGGGGGAGGAAGGCATAGGAATGTTTTATGAGTTGACACCTGTCTTTAGTCATGGCTAGAAAACACTCCAGAGAGCCTCTTCTTCGGGATTGATTTTCTTTTAGGATAAATACTAGGTAAAATTCAAGACACTTCACCCAGCTCCAGTCACTGTTCATTCACTCCGCTCCTACACAATCTTAATTTCTTCAGGTGCCCCTGCTTTGCGGCAGCCATTTTGGTGGCTTCACCCTTGGCAAAGAGGGAAAAACCCTGGGTCCAGCTGGAGAGCCACCGCTTTCAGCAACCAGCAGGGTGCCCCTCCTTATCTGTCACCCCTACAGGGTGACTTTAGCCCCTGGGGGGCCCCTCCGACAAAGAGGATTCAGCGTGGGGATGCGCAGCCCTGCTCCCCTGCATCGATCACGCTGCGACATCAAACCGGAAGTCTAGAACTCCAGAGTGCATTTTTCTTAAACAGATTCTATCCTGTGCTTGGAAGACTTGTTTTCCTTTTTTCAAATAGCATTTGAATTTATTTTATGTTAAGTCTGTTTTTCATAAGTTAGAAATAGAGGAACCTCTGTAAAAGAAAACACAAAAATATACCAATGAATTGGGACACTCAGCATTAAAACATCCTCAAGTGGATACTTGCCCAATATTTAACAGAAAACTTCCAAGAATCAAGGGTGATGAGTTTTTGTGGGCCATGTTGGGAAACAACTCTTAATGCTGCTGCTCTGTAATTTCAAACCCAAATAGTCATGTTTTAGTTTCATTAACCTCATTAGAAATAGTGACCAGTTGCTAAATTATGTCCCATTAACTCGAATGAAATTCTAGCATGCCTGATTTTCTTTGTGATAGTATTTATAAAATCATAGGACTGAAAAGGACCTTGGAGGTCTTCTAGTCCAACCCCTTGGCCAAGATAGGAATCCTTATACCATCGCAGACAAATGGAAGTCCAATCTTTTCTTGAAAACTTCCAGTAATGGAGTACCCCTGTCTCTAAGAGGCAAGCTTTTCCATTGATTAATTGCTCTCACTGTCAGCAAATTCCTCCTTAGTTTCAAGATGGATCTCCCTCTGATCAAACTTCATCCATTGCTTCTTGTCCTGCCCTCGGGTACTTTAGAGGACAAATTGACCCACTCCTTCAGGTATTGGAAGGCTACTGTCCTGTCATCCCTAAGCCATCTCTTTGTTAGGCTAAACATAGTTCCCTTAGTTATTCATCTTTATGGTTTATCCCTTATGTTCTTCTCTGCACTCTTTCTAGGGCCTCAGTATGTCTTTTTTTGTATTGCGGTGACCAGAACTGGTCAAGGTATTCCATGTGTGGCCTCATCAGTGCAGTATATAGCAGTGCTGTACTATCATTTATTGTGACCTTGATGCTATATCCCTTTGTTGATGTAGCCTTAGGCTGCGTTGACCTTTTTGGCAGCTGTAACACATTGCTGTCTCATATTTAAGTGATGGCCTATTAGGACATCTAGATCCCTCTCATATGTACTACTGTTGGGTCAGATACTGTCTATTCTATACCTGTGCACTTGGTTTTTCCTGCCTAAATGCAGGACCTTACTTTTCTCACCATTGAACTGCATTATAATGGATAGGATGCAATACTCAAGTCTGTCAATATCCTTCTGAATCTTGAGTCAATTTTCCAAAGTGCTAGCAGTTTCCCCAGCTTAGTGACATTTGCAAATGTGATGAGTTCTCCTTCTATCCCCTCACCTGGTTCACTTATGAAGATGTTGAAGAGTACTGGCCCCAATTCAGAATCTTGAGGTACCCCACTTCATTCTTTCCTTCATGTAGAGATAGTTCCAGAACCACACACTGATCCAACTAGTAGTGATACTGTCTATTCCACATTGTTCTATCTTACCAAGAAGCAGGCTGTCATTTACTTTGTAAAATGCCTTTCTGAAATTCAAACATATTATATCCACAGATTTCCTAGATCCACTAATTTAATCACTTTATCAAAGAAGGTAATAAAGATTTGTTTGGCATGATCTGCTTTTAAAAGATTGCTGACAATCACCTTGTTCATTTCTAGATTCTCAGAAATTTGCTGCTTGATTAACTTTTCCAGGATTTTCCCAGGTATTGATGACAAGCTGATTGATATGTAGCTTCATGGGTCCACTTTCCTCCTCTCTTTTTGAAGATTGAAATCACATCAGCTCTTTTTCAGTCCTCTGACAGAACCCTCTTGCTCCAGGATCTCTGAAAATTCAACATGGCTGGCTGAGGAATTCTGGAAGTTGAAGTTCACAAAGTTCTCTATCTTCTGCGGGCTGTCTTAGATTTGCTGAACTCACTCTATGTTAGATACTTCAAAGGCAACACATGGTTGAAAAAGGCAACCCCTAAAAACAAGAAGACAGGAAAGTGGAGAACCAGCAACCCAAAGTGCACGTGGTTACACCCCCATCCTCAAAATCAAGTCTTGTTCTTTAGTCTTGTCAAGATTTCTCTCCTTTGAGCAAACTGCTAGCTTGGCTTCCACATTATAGGAAACTCAGGTAGAGGAACTACAATGAGCCAAAGCCATCACCTACTTGGCGGAATATATCTTGATGATCAGCAAAATATCAGTGGGTCAGCCTGAAAGACCTGGACTAGTGAATGTGATTAAGTTTTCTGCAAAGAGAAGGAACCATACCTTCAACCTCAATGTCAGACTTACCAATGGCCGTAACAAAGGACTACAACCAAGCAGGCAACTTTGAGTCTTCTTCTTGGTCTCTTATTGGGAAGCAATAATCATTCTCTCTGCTCATCCTTATACCAAGAATTCTTCAGAGGGTCTGCATACTAAGACCAACTAGTATCCACTAGTACCTATCATGGGATGATGCTCTAACTCAACTCCATGCTCAAAACCTTGCATGAGTCAACCTCTGCCAGGCAGGTATCCCAGATAAGGGTGCTCTCTGCCAAGATTTTTGCATCTTATGGGAGAAATTATCACAAAACAAACCCTTGCATCTAAATTGAATTTGGCTCCCACCATAGTCAGGAAATGATCCTCCATCTATCATAATTCTAAAACCGAGTTAGAATATTTGAAATATTGAAAGATTTCCTAGATTCCTTCCAGCAGACGTGCCATAGAGTTGTAAGGCCTCATTGTTCTTGATCTCCAGGTGAGTCAAGGCTTGTCTCATTAGCCTATGAGGCCCAAAACAAGCCTGCTTCACAATGAAATGTAGCACATTGCATTAGAAAGGTACACCTTCCACATCCCCAGGAGACAGGCAACCAGTAGAAATCTTTTCAGAACACTGTGCTTTCTGGACTTCTGAAAAGGGCTTCTGAAAAGGATGTGTTGAATCAGAAGAATGAAGGCACATATAGCATCTTTTGGCCATGTTGTCGGAGAATTCTAGGCTTTTTTGAATTTTGGAGGATGAGCAAGATTGCTATGTAGAATGCAGAAATGTATCAATCAAAATTCAGACTTTCTGTCTTGAATAAAAAAAGGTGTAATTGTAGTTGGAGCTGCTAATGCAATCATGAACAGTCTAAAATTATAAGTTTGGTCACGTATTGACCGAGCAAGCTTTGTTTTTAGAAGTTCAAAAACAAATCCTAGTATTTTTTGAAATACCTTTAGCAGACTCTTCACTGTTTTTCAAAAGTAAAGGATTGTTTTCATTGATTTCATAACAAATTAGACAGGAGTTCCATGTTTATAAAATACAATTAGATGCGTCTTTAGTCTTAGGTCATATTTAAGTGGTCTTTTTTGGACTCAGTCCAAATTCATGCTATTTCCAGACCACTGGCAACTCAGGTTGTTTATAAGGATATGTTCTGGAAATATCTGGGAATGTGGAAGGTTTTTCCTCACCTTATTTTTGACTTTCCCCCTTAAGTGTTTGTTCCATTTTTTTTAAAATCCTCAAGGTGTTCCTCTGTTTTCTGCTGCTGAAGATCAGAGCTCCAAATTCCTCCAATTCTTGGCAATGACTTCCATAGCTAGGCATTAATGTTAATGTGTAGCAATAATTAGCCTTAATAATTGGAAAAAACAAAAGAACCCCAACTTTCTCAGTTTTGGGGAAAAAGTTGATTTATGCTTTGAACTGGTGTGTGCTTACATGTCAGTAAGTCAGTTTTAATCTTTAATTGCTAGTAAAATACCTTTAATTTAATACACACACACACACACACACACACTAAATTTCAGTGCTTGAAATGTTAAGTTTCTTGTTGATTTGTGTTAGAATGAGAATTTAGAATGCTGGTATCTTTCCTCCACCCTTAAAGTTAAAAAAAGGGGCGGAAGAGAGAGATCCATTCCTTTCTGTAACTCTCATGGAAATTCTAAGCTGAGAATTCCCCTCGATTTGCATAGCTGGGCTAGAGTGCAAGACAAAGGGCTAAACTTTACTTTTAGTTTTCGGTTTCAGAGAGCACGTGGGCTATCATAACTTTGAAGCAAGCAGACTTTACATTGCAAAATAATTCCCAGGTTGCAAAACAGATGTCAGTAAACATACTAGTTTCCCTATTTTTCTTGAGTGTGTGCGGGGGGAATACCTAGATAATTGTAACAGCAGTTATTTTCTAATGAAGTTTCCCAAGAGCTTCAGGTTGTACTATATATGGAAATTTTTGGTGAAGCCTTCTTAGTTTCTACTCAACATTTCAACCTTCCAGGATGCTGTTTAACAGACCACAAAGTGGACAGTTTGGGAAAAGTGGATTTTTAAAAACTGCTATGGGGTGAGAGGTTGCTAAACTTACATACATCAAAAGGTTTCAGGCCATCATTCAAGCTCTTGGAAAATACTATTGGTTACAGTTCTTAATTGAGGAGGGACATCATTAATTGATGACGGACATCTTACGTATAACCTGTGTTTGCGTAACAAAAACATCTTTCTGTCTCTTTCTGCCTCATTCCAGTTTAAATTCTTCCTAAGTTTAGCCCTCTATACATGTGGTGAAGCAAATTTCAGTTCATAAGAGCGGATGCCTTTCATTAACATTTGTCCTACCAGACTCCTTCTAAAGAATGTCTCTTATTTCTTGGAGACATAGGAGGGATACATAATTTATATTATTTATAAATAATTAATTTACTGGAGAAGGATGTTTCCTTTATTGGAGAAGGAAGGAAGAAAAAAAAGGCATGAAGCAGAAACAAAAAGAATAGGCGGATTCCAGTGATACTGTATACTAAGTCCTAACCTTTGACACAGTCCTATATTTGTTCTAGGAATACCTACCATTGAATTCAGTGGAATTTACCTCTGAGTCTGTGTGTAATATATGTATGAGATAGGTTTGTGGGTTTCATATATGGTTTCCTGATCTTGGGTCTATTGACCAGTCATCTGATTGGTAGGCTGCCTGTCAGACGCAAGAAACCAGGAACCAAGGTTTTTCAAATGAGTTCAAGTTTATTCCATACTAGCTCTCTACAAGAATCTGAACTACTAACAGCCAAGGCAAATTGACAGTAGGTAAGAGTCAGTGGAATTTAAGGAGGGCTGGCCTTAGATCTCTTGTGGGCACGATGGGACTACAGACCGATGACATACTTGCCCCCTCCCTCAAGAGTTGTGGGCACGATGGGACTACAGACCGATGACATACTTGCCCCCTCCCTCAAGAGTCAGCCTGATCATCTCCTACAAGTTGTAGGCTAGGGAAGGTATAACACCAAGATTAACATTAGAACAACAATCAAGAAGTAAATAATATCCCAATCAAGGAACTGCCAAACAAGCTAACAGTAAACAACCCAAATAAAGAACCTCCAGATCCATTCAACACCAACACTGACAGGGCAAGCCACTAGAATATAAATTGAGAGCAAAGCCCACTCCTCACTAGCACTGATGATGTTACCTAGCTTGGGAAAGGAAACGATCAAGCCCAGAGAGCACCAAGGACCCCTCATTTCAACCCTGAGCAACAAATATTCCCCTTTTTCAGATGGTGTTCTCTCAGAGCAGTGGAGTATACTTCTGGCAATTGATGCGTGAATTGTTGGTCAGTATGTGAAAGTTGCTCCCAGTTATGACAGTACATCTCAAAGAAAAGAGGGGTATGTGCTTGGATGCATAGCCCCTAACCCTTCTGCTGCCCACCAAATGTTGACCTTTCATATGAGCAATTTGATGCCTTTTATGTATTTTGATCTAGAACTTCCAGAATCAGTCACCAGCATTTGCACTAGCCTAGGTGGTTGAGAATTGTTTTTTAACACATTGGAAGGACATGATATTGCTTACTTCTTTGAGAACAGTGGTATGTATTAAGTCTTTCAAATGACAGGTTGAATTTCAAAAGAAGCTATATATGTCAGTTAATGTGACATGCTGGAGATTTAGTAGAGTTCATTTTCCATTTTTACTGAACGCTTTGTGAAACTGTCAATGGCAGTTTAATCAGTCTGTGGCCAGCTTTCGGAAGACCACAATTGAGCATCACTTTTTTGCCCATGTTTTTCTGGAGGTGGTGATTTAAAACATACCGAAATTTTAATCATAGACTCATAGGGCTGGAAGGGACCTTGGAGGTCTTTTAGTCCAACTCCCTACTCAAGGCAGGAATCCTTATACCATCCTGGACAAACGGTTGTCCAATCTTTTCTTTAAAATCTCCAGTGCTGGAACAACCACAATTTTGGGATGTAAGCTGTTCCATTCATTAATTGCTCTCACTGTCAAAAAGTTCCTCATTTCCAGGTCAAATCTCCCTCTAATGAGCTTCTACCTATTGCTTCTTATCCTGTCCTCAGGTGCTATGGAGAATAAATCTATCCCCACTTCTCAGTTACAAGCCTTTAATTATTAGAAGACTATTATTGGGTCTCCCTGAGCCTTCTCAGCCTTCATTAGGCTAAATATAATCTATTTTCCTTAGACATTCATTGTATGATATTGTTTCCCATATCTCCATGATGATCTACCTTATTAATGTATTTTCTGAAATAAAAATCCTATATTTCTTTGAAGGAGTTTCTCCTTTAATACTGGCTAAAGCTTTCTTGCTCTACAATTTGCTTGAGTTACTGCAAACAAGCCGACACATAGTATTTCATGTAATCATATAGTATACTTGCATGAAGGCATTACAGTATTAATAATTTTGTTTTTCTATCCCTTTTCTAATGATCTCTAACATATAATTTCCTTTTTATTTTTATCTTTTTGCAGCTGCTGAATACTGGCTGGGCAGTTTCTTGGAGCTATCCAAGAAAACAACAATCCATTTCTCTTCAGTAAGTTTCAGCTTGGACACCTTCAGCTGATACATGAAATATGGGGAGTGGGTTTGGTCCCAATAGGCTATTGTCAATGTTTAAAAATTAACTAGTTACTATAAAGGGATGGGAGAATATGCTAATTGATACTTTTCTACTATTGAATTATTGCTTCATTAGATTACTTGCTCATATCTATTTCTTGCAGTAGCCTCCAACCAAATCCTAATCTCTTCAACCAAAAATATCAGTGATTTGAACTTGGAAATGTCTGTGCTGTATACATTCAGTAAATTATGGTTCTTCTTTATGGTTATGGATATCATTGTGTTGGCTGCTGTTTAGAGATGAAAAGAGATGCATGCATGTTTGGAACAGTTTATCTGCCATAAAGCTATTCTCTGCCTATTATATGCTACTACACTCCTTAGGATGAATCCACACGTTAATGCAAATCTCTTGAAATTAATATTCCTATGTTAGCCTTAATATCTTTAGCTTTTTTCCATCCCATTGATTTCAGTGCATGAACTTAAAGGTGGGTCACATTGAACTATAGTGTGATTTGTTTGACGTCAGTTTAGTATGAATTCAAACATTGTGGTTTGTTGTTATAAACTAGTTGCATGTGAACCGTGCCAGTTACAATTTGTTCAGTAAAGGGTAACTAATGAAATCATGGTTTAGTGCCTTGATTGACAGCATAGCTGGGAGAGCACATGTGGTGCATCACATTACAACCCCTTACATTGATTTTATTGTCCCCCAATAACAAGTCCCATTCTGCTCCCATGTTGCTAAGTTTCATGTCGCCCCTTTTGAATCTGTGGATATCAGTATTCTGTGTAGTTTGTGTACAGATAGTCCCTGACTTACGACAATTAGGATTATAGTTTCCATTGCTAAGCAAACTGATTGTTGAATGAATTGCACCCAATTTTATGACAGTTTTTCCCATGATTGTTAAGTGAATCACTGCATTTGTTAGTGAATCATGTGGTCATTAAGTGAACCCAGCTTTACCCATTGAATTTGCTGGTTGGGAACTGGCTGGGAAGGTCAGAAATGGTAATCGCATGGCCTCCGAATGCTGCAGCTCTTGTATATACGTGCCGGTTGCCAAGCACCTGATTTTTGATCACATGATTGTGAGGATGCTGCAACTTTGGAAGTGTGAGGATCAGTTGTAAGCCACTGTTTTCATTTCCATTGTAACTTTGAGTAGTCACTAATTGAATGGATGTAAATCAAGGACTATCTGTATAAGTGTATGAGAAAAAATATGAGACATGAAGTTTTTATTTGAGGGAACCACTTTTAATGCTCCTTGTCTTTGTAGCATGGCATCAAATACACTGTTTAAAAACTGGTATGGCTACTAAACTTATGCACTTCTACTTTAGCATAATGTGAGGTGTGAATCTGGCCTCCATTTAACCCATTTTAGATCCCATTGTCTGATCTGTTACCGTATTGTCCCAAGCAGTATTGATTTCTCAAGCAGAGATAATGATAAATAAGGTTATAATTCTGCATTCCTCACAAATCCTTTCCGCATGAGCAATTTATCTGGATTTGAAACCTTTACTTTTCTTATTGTGGCAGATTGCTACTTGTCAGTAATTTCACTTTCCCCCTTTTATTTTTCTTTCCTCCCTGCCCAAAAGGTATGCAATTGTTTTTGTGACTCTCACAAACCAGGGCCAATTTAAGAAGCAAGCCACAATGCAGCGGTGCCCCCATTCCCAGCACTTTTGGCACTGAGAGCAATTTGAGAACAATCTGAGGGCATCTCACCAGAAGGTCAACGTGATGACGGTCTGGTCTATGGTGGAAAGGCTGAAAATGGAGAAGAGGCACTCCCAAGACAAGAGGATTGTTGAGCAAGACAGCAGGGATTGCAGCACCGAATCTGAAGAATGGACAAGCTCTGAGAGTGACGGTGAGCAGCCTTGCATCAGGAACAGCTCCAGCAACACCCTGCCCAGGGAGAAGGATGTTCCCCCTCACAAGCCTCACCGGCAGCTTTGCCGCTCTCCTTGCTTGGATCAGCCCAGCTTCTCCCAGAGCAGCCTTCTTCAGGATTTAAAACTGGAAGATGGTAAAGCGAACCCGGACAAAGAATATCAAGCCAAAATTGATTTCGCTTTAAAACTGGGCTACGCGGGGGATCAGATACAAGCCGTGTTGAACAAGTTGGGGGCCGATGCTCTCATCAATGATATTTTGGCTGAACTTGTAAGACTTGGCAACAAGGCTGAGAATGAAGGGCCAGCTAGCCTTGGAAGTAGTACTGCTCCCACGAGTGGAACGGCTGCCAAGGAGGTGACCAGCCCCGAGTTGTCCCTGGAGGAGGATGTTGTGGACAGCTCTGACAACTTGAGGCCGATTGTAATTGATGGAAGTAATGTGGCAATGAGGTAGTTCATACTTTGTGCTCTTTTTATTGCACTTACGCCCCTCTTTTTTTGCATAAAAAAACTCTTGAAGGAAATCAGCATCCAGATAAATGTTCATTTCAAATGTGGATAAGAGTATACCATAGTGGATTCAAATGGCAACTTTTGCAGAATTCCTTGCATTGTATACCGGGGTACATTAGATCCAGGGAGTCCTGGATCACATTTGAACCCCAAATTTCTGTTGCTAAGTGAGACAGTTGTTAAGTGAGTTTTGCCCCATTTATAACCTTTCTTGCCACGGTTGTTCAGCAAATCACTGCAGCTGTTAAGTTAGTAACATGGTTGTTAAGTGAATCTGGCTTCCTCATTGACTTCACTTGTCAGAAGGTCACAAAAGGGGATCACATGATCCCAGGACACTGCAACTGTCATAACTACGAGTCAGTTGCCAAGCATACAAATTTTAATCACATGCCCACAGGGATATTGCAATGCTTTTATGAAAAATGGTGAAGAGCCGCAGTGGCATAGGGGTTAGAATGCAGTACTGCAGGCTATTTCTGATCACCAGCTGCCGGCAGTTTGGATCTCAAGGTTGATTCAGCTTTCCATCCTTCCAAGGTCAGTAAAATGAGGACCCAGATTGTTGGGGGCAACAGGCAGACCCTGTATAAACTGGTTAGAGAGGGCTGTAAAGCACTGTGAAGTGGTATATAAGTCTAAGTGCTATTGCTGTGTCATTTTTTCAGTGCCATTGTAACTTTGAATAATTACTAAATGAACTGTTGTAAATCAAGGACTACTTGTACCTTACAAAGACTACGTACAAGGTTTGACTGTCCATCCACTGAGAACATCCTAAAAATGCCCACAAAGTGTCCCTCTTCACTGGGGATTGGGAAGATGTGGACCACATGGGAGTCCTTTTCTATTTTATCCCTGTACTTTCTATTCCTGGAGATCTATGCGGCCCCTTCCTTCGGCCCTGTCCCATGGAACTCTTATCCCTACTTCAGCAGCCCCCAACCTTTTATGCACCTGGGACAGGCTCTGTGGAGAGAGGCTTTTCCGTGGACCAGAGTAGGCGTGGTTTCACACAATGCCTGCATCCCACACATGCACAGATGGAGCTTCACTCGTTTGTGCAGCTCGGTTTCTGATGCGCCACAGACCAGTGGTAGCCCAGGGCCCAGGAGTTGGGGACCCCTGCCCTAGTTGATTGTTGGAGGTATCCATTTTGGGAGAGACATTTAGAACTAGTGCACCTTGAACTGTTTCTTGCACAGTAGTAATCTGCCCAGAGTCTTCTGATTCAGGCATGCTATAAAAATAAATTTATTCCATTTGGATGCCGCTCGACTCCAGCTGACTCTGGGTGACTCACAGCAATAAAATAGCAAAAACAACAGATACAGACAATGAATCAAAACAGATTTTTTAAAAACCCTGCAAAATAAACACAAGGTGCCAACTCATCAACACAGAAGACCCAGAATCTCACAAACAGGGTGTTGGTGCCAGTGTCCCATCGAAGGCTTGGGTAGGTAGCCAAGTCTAGACAGCCCCGTATGTCATCAGGGAGGGAACTATATGTATCTCTGTGACATCTCATCATTGTAGAATAGGGATCTCCAACCTTGGCAACTTTTAAGACTTATGTACTTCCAACTCTCACAATTCCCCAACCAGCAAGAAAACAGAAGTTTGCAGGATCCAATCTTGAGTTGATCCCCACCCCCGACCAAACATTTATTCTTCCAAGCTTTCAAGCTCGTCTAAAGCCCATCTTCGGGGAAATCCCCTCTCTCTCCAGAATGTGTGTCATTCTCTCTCCAGAATGGGCCTATATTCTTCCCTGAGGATGGGCTCCAGCCTGAAAGTCTGGAAGAATAAACCTTTGGTCCCAGTGACCAACTCAGACTGGATCCTGCAACATTATCCTGGCAAGAGTGAAGTTTGTCTGTTTTATTTCAAGATCTTTTTAACATTGTCTCCTAAACTTTGTTAAACCCCTTTCCCTTTTTATGTATTGTATTTTTATCTCAGCCATCTTCGTCAAGATATATTAGAATTCTCTGAATTATTCTTGTTCATTTTCAGCCATGGAAATAAAGAAGGATTTTCCTGTCGAGGGATTCAGCTAGCTGTTGATTGGTTTCTGGAAAAAGGTCACAGAGATATAACAGTATTTGTGCCAACCTGGAGAAAAGAACAGAGTCGACCAGACGCGCCTATTACAGGTAACCATTTCGGGAACTGGCATAACTCTTATAAGATCAAAGAGAAAGATTTTTCTCAGTAGGATGACTCAGTTATCCTATCTCAGGGGTGTCAAACTCAAGGCCCGCTGTTGAGGTTTAATCGGCCCACGTGGCCATCCTGAAAACTGTAAAAGTCCAGCCTGTGTCACTTTGGCCTGGCCCACACCATCCTGGTGTGCATGTGTGCATGCGCACAGGCCCAGTTCTCCATCCCCGTGTGCAGAGCAACTAAAGTACCGTATTTCCCCATGTATAAGCACCCCCTTTGTATAAGCCACCCCCCCAATTTTTGGACTGTGAAGTTTTGAAAAAAATATTTTATTAGAGAAACAAGTTATGAAGAAAGAAAATTTACAAAGAAACAAAATTCGACGTCTAGATCTACAACTTCAGTCATGACGCCGAAAGCGGTGCGGGCGACGCTAGCAATCTACGCATCGGAACGAGAGTAGGAACGAAGCATTCAGGCCGATGCCTAGCGTATGCATTTCTATCGCGTACTCGCACTCGTAATCGTATCATCACGTACAATTTTTACAAAAAAGTATAGCATACTGCTGGAAAACCAGTTTATTCCTACTTTATTATTTTATGCATTTTTCACGTATAAAAAGTGTACCTGCTTTGTATATGCCACCCCCCTACTTTTTGGGCTTGAAAATTTTGGAAAAAAGGGGTGGCTTATACATGGGGAAATACGGTAGTCTGTGGGAATATGGTAAAAAAAATAATCCAGACCTTCCAATCTCACAAGATCTTTTTTGTGTGTGTGTGAGAAGCTGGAAAGTCTGAACTATTCTTTTTACCGTAGTCCCACAGACTACTTTAGTTGCTCTGCACGTGGTGGTGGCAAAAAGAGCTGGAAAGGTTAGGAAAGGGATGTGGCTGCCCTGGTTGGTGGGGGGTGAGGGTGAGGGTTTGGCTGGCTGGCCTGGCTGAAGGGCCCTCAGGTAAGACGGGTGGGGCAGGGCAAATGGGGCAGCTCTGCACCCCCTGCCTTACTTCGTCCTCCACCCACCCATCTCACTTTGTTCTTCGCCTCTTCTCCTTCTTTGCTGCCGTAATGTAGCAGGAGGCTGAGCAACACACTAGTGCAATGGCCACAAAACATGGCGGTAGGGGGGGTGGAATCTGAAGCAAGGCAGCACCAGCTTACCTGAGCACCCTGCCAGCCAGGCACCGAACACCACAGTGAGACCGGGGTGGGGGGGGGGGGAGAGGGCTCTCCAAACACGTGTCTGTATGAGAAAGAGACGTGCAATCCCTGCTTCAGTCGGGGCATTTAAGCTGCTGGCGTCGGGGCGGGGGCAGGAGCCACCTGAGCAACTGTATTTTTCCTCGTCCTCCCCACTGAAGCAGCAGTGGGCTCTGTGGGACAGCAGGGCCTCTCATTTCTCCCCTGGAATAGTGAACTCCAGCTTTAGTCGGGGCATTGAAGCTGCTGGAGATGACAGCTTCCTAATGATTTGCCCCCTCCCCAACCAGCCAGCCAGCCAGCTGCTGCCCCAGCGCAGCGAACTGCGGTGGGCTGGATGCAGGTGTGAAGGGCCTGGCTTCACAGTGCTTCCTTGCTCAGTTGAAGACTCCATTCAGCCTTCAAACAGTAAGGCTGGCTCACATACCAGGGCCACAGGCGGCGTTGGTTCCTGCACCCAGCCACGGACGGCGTTCCTGTTTGAGGGCTGAATGAAGCCTTCAACTGAGCAAGGATGCACTGTGGGGCCAGGCCCTTCACACCTGCGTTCAGCCCACCGCAGTTCGCTGCACCAGGGCAGGAAGGTGACCCTGTCCCGCGGAGCCTGCTGCCGCTTGGGTGGCAAGGACAAGGAGGAGGAGAATGGTGAGGCTTTATGCCAGCTGGCCAGGCACAGAGCAGGTCAGGCGGCGCTGGCTGGTTGATTGGGGAGGGGGCAATCATTAGGGGGCTGCCGCTGCCAGCAGCTTCAATGCCCCAACGGAAGCTGGAATTTGCCATGCCAGGGGAGAAATGAGAGGCCCTGCTGTCCCGCAGAGCCCGCCGCTGCTTCAGTGGGGAGGATGAGGAGAAAAACGGCTGCTCGGGTGGTCCCTGCCCCCCCCCCTGCCACCACCACCAGCTTAAATGCCACGACTGAAGGAGGGATTTCACGCTCTCTTACACACACACACAGTTTAGAGAGCCCCCCTCCCCTCCCTCTCTCCAGCGGCTGTTGCGGCACTTCAGTGCCTGGCTGGTGGGTGCTCAGGTAAGCTTGTGGGGGGGGGGGGGGTCTGCCCCCCCCCCCCCCTGCTCCGTATTCCACCCCCCACTGCCCCACTGCTCAGGTGGCTCCTATTGCCCATGCTGCGGCCAGCAGCTTGAGTGCCCTGACTGAAGATCACTCTCTCTCCTACACACACACACACACTCTCTCTCTCTCTCTCTCTCTCTCTCACACACACACACACACACACACAGATTGCGTTGGATTTCTCTCTCTTTCTGTCTCTCCCTCTCCGCCCATTTGCATGCAACTGTGCTCCATGGGACAACAAGGTCTCATTAAGTGGAAACAAGGGTTGTTGTTTTTTTGGAGGGGGGGGGACAGGAGATCAGGAAAGACTTTTTGCACCGAGATTGAAAGTTTCTGGGTCCCTGACTCTGCAAAAGAGGAATAGTTGCCTGAATCTGCACGACATTATTTTATTTATTTATTTAATTTATATTGCCGCCTATTCGCCCATGGCGACTTGAGGCGGCTTATACAATGTAAAACCATATTTAAAACAAAAAAACAAAATAAAAAACAATAAAAACTAACAAAAAGAATCAAATAAATTAGTAAAGTCCAATAGAACAAAATCTGGGGGGGGACCGGACCCAACTCCCACCCACCCCCGTCCCAACGACAGCAGATCACACTAGCCGTCTGATTATTATAGCACCCAGGAGTGTCCATTCTCGGCACGAAAAGCATTTCCAAGCCAAATCTCCTCTCCCTTCCTCTGAGGCAAAGAAACAGAGAAACCTAAAGAGGTGACAGATGGTTGCAAGGTCAGCGAGTCCTTGTGGCAGGAAGGGGAGGGGAGAAGCATGAGGTATCTTAGTGGGTTGAAGAGGCCTTGAGGGCCTGTTCTGTCACTGGGCCCCCCCACGTCCTTCCCCACCATGGGATCCCTCATGTGCCCATTGGTATTCTTGAATTGTGAGCTCTTGGGAAATTATCCCCTCCTTGTGCGGGAAAAACAGGATGAAGCAAGTAGGGAAAAATATTTTCCTTTGCTATATTACCAGTCAGTCCCTACAAGAGAGCCCTTTTAAGGATTACGTATTCATAGAAAAGCAACTAACTTATTTCTGTTCTTAAATGCTAAAGTTGTTGCACGTAAAAAACAGGAGCTCTGATCAACTATCAGAGCCATCATTTTGACAGTTTTGCTGTACTGTCGTCTGTGGACGCCTCCACGAAATGCCCTCCTGCGCACCCCATGAGCCAAGGAGAGCGAGCACAGCAGCAGTGAGAGCTGGCCATATCCACCACGCCCACCATGGCCACACCCGCCCCGGCCACGCCCACCCCGGCCCCCACAATCCTGATGCGGTCCTCAGTGAAATTGAGTTTGATACCCCTGCTCTATCTATTATAATGGAGGGTATTTGCATATCATTTTTGCAGAATATAATAGAAAAAATGTGCATAACCATTTAAATCTTATGGGCTATATTAATGCTTGCATGGAGGAATGTTTTGAACCATGTGAGTTGATTGGTACTTATTTTGTATTCTAGCGTATTGAATGCTCAATTTGCTTAAGATCATTTCCACTTTATACAGGTAGTCCTCGACTTATGACCACAATTGAGCCCAAAAGTTTTGTTGCTAAGTTTGTTAAGTGAGTTTTGCTCCATTTTATGAGTTTCTTGCCACTGTTGTTAAGTGAATAATTGCAATTGTTAAGTTAGTAACAAGGTTGCTAAGTGAATCTGGCTTCCCAATTGACTTTGCTTGTCAGAAGGTTGCAGAAGCGGATCACACGAATCCAGGGCACTGCAACTGTCATAAATGTGAACCAGTTGCCAAGCATCTGAATTTTGATCATGTGACCATGGGATGTGCAACCATCGTAAGTGTGAAAAATGGTCATAACTCACTTTTCAGTGCCGTTGTAATTTGAACAGTCACTAAACGAACCGTTGTACTCACTTTTAATATACTTTGAGCCCTGTCAAAAGTGGGATATAAATTAACACAAGTGTAGTAGCATCAGTGTCTGTCCCGTCCCCACCCCCGCCCCCCCGGCTGATTTTTTTTCTGGAAACCAAAATGGAATTAAGGAAGGGGACAACCAAGAGGGGAGAGATTCTGTGTTCGAAGAAAAGTCTGCTAATTGCTGGAGGAATATATTAATCATTTGGGGAAGTAGCTTTAGTATTTCATAACTTCACTAATAGCTTCAGTCCGCTTCACCTGGCAAATCCTCTTGGGGGAAAAGGAATCGTCAGAGTATTGGTGGCGTCCTAGTAGGAAAGAAAGAGGCGCTGAAAGGATTTAATCTCGTTCTGTCTCTTACTTGTGGATTGACGGAGGGGCTTCTGAGGCTACTCTACGAACCAGCAAAATCATGGCTCCCATCACTGTGTAATACCATTCGTTGCTAAGAGCCTTGCTGTAAGGATGAAAATGACTCCATTATCTTGACTCCAAATGTGAAAGACAAGCATTAATCTTGAGTTTCTGAAAGCTGTAGTCCAGGGTTCTTTTTAAACACTTTTTTTTTTTTTGCTGTTCTTTAAAATTCCCCGTTCATACATTCCTCTAGATGGAAATGTTGCTGCTCACTTGACAGAGGAGCTAATTTTGCAAAGCACCATCTAGTGAAAGAGGATGACAATGAATTCTGGATTTTTTAAGGATGATTTGGAGAAAACCCATGTGCATTTTCATCATCACTCTTTTCCCTCCTGATTTCATTTCAGTAAATTTAATTTAAGCTTATTAAACCCGTCTTATGCCCCCTAACAGATCGAAAGCATGCAAATGCGAGTAGATTAATATCTATCACTTTGGTGGGAAAGTAACAGCATTCCATGTGCCTCAGCGTATAGTCATGCTGGCCACATGACCACGGAAGGGTCTTCGGACAACGCTGGTTCCCTTGGCTAAGAGACTGAGATTAGCGGCCACCCTCTAGAGGCTGAAACAATTGGACAGGGAAACCCTTTTATTATTAAAAGCAGAACTAATACGTTGGGCACAAGCAAGCCTGGGTGACAGGCCACTTGGAAATTTTCTTGCAACAAATGGATCGAAGCTACTAGGGCAGGTGTGTCTAGTCTGCCAGGTGCTTTTATCTGGCCCAGGGGGCTGTCCTAGAAACAGCAAAGGACTGGCCTGCGGTGCCTCTGCCAGTGAAAATGGAACTCGAGAGGGCCTCTCGAGTTCCATTTTCACTGGCAGAGAGTTGCAGGAGGCCATCACAGCCAAAAATGGAGCTCAAGAGCTCGTTTTCGTTGGCAGAGAACTTGGGCCACCACTGGCACCCCCGACATGAGTGACGTCGAGTTGGCCATGCCCACCACAATCCCCAAGGTCAAACAACCTTCATGTGTCCCTCAATGAAACTGAGTTTGACACCTGTGCAGGTGACGCACCACTGGTCCTGCCCAACCAATGTGAAAAATGGACAAGGGCTTCTGGTTCAGGAGCGGGACTGGTTAAAGAAGCTAGCTCAAAAGAAGCCCAAACCATTGTGCATCGCCACTCTCAACGTAAGAATACTGACTGACTGTAGCCGTGAGCTAGCCAAAATTCTGAAATACCACCATATTGACATAGGATGCCTTCAGGAGACCAGATGGAAGGGACAGAAATCCACAGACATTGGAGAAGGTTACAAGTCGGTTTACTAATACACTTCCAACAACTATGGTGTTGCTGTTGTCATGAGCAAAGATCTATGTAGCTACGTGCCTGAGGTCCAGAGACACTCCGACCGCCACATGTCTGTCACCATTGATACACCCACCTATCGACTCCAGGTGGCTTATGCCCACAAACAGGACTTGATAAGGACACCAAGGATCAGTTCTGGAATGAACTGCAGACTAAAATCTGTGCCTGCTCCAAAGATCTGCCGCTCCTCTGCGGTGACTTGAATGGTCATGTGGGAAGTAATTGGGAACAAAGGTTATGGAAATCCAAGATGGATTTCAAATCCTGGATTTTGCAGAATCAAAGAATCTCATGATCTGCAAGACATTTTTCAAGAAACGTCCAGACCAACTCATTACTTTCACCAGTGGCGGAAATAGTCAGATCGATTTTATTCTTTTGAGAAGACGTGACCTTCCCATGGTATGCAATACCAAGGTTATGCCTTCTGATGTTCTTGCCCCACAACACCAATTACAAATTACACAAGTTACAGATCTGAAAATAAAAGGCCATAAGAAAATGGACAGCACCACAGGCCCCGAGAGGATCAAATGGTGGAACTTACACACAAAGAGGCAGTGACCAGAAAAATCGTATTCACATCTGTCAGTGCTGCCACAAATAACATTGCCTAGTCAACACTCTGTGACTCTGTCATTACCACTGCCAGAGAAATCAGGTCACCATTATATTGACAAACAAGTGTGGCTGTGGACTGAATAAGTGCAGGAGAAAGTGCAGGAAAAGAAGCAGACTTTCAAGAAATAGCAGGCTGTGATGACCTGGGACATGGCACAAAGGCAACACAGTCAGATAATCAATGGGAATCCCTTTATTAGCTCCAACTTTGCCCTCAATGTCCTGATTAACTTCTGGCTGGAGAAAAACTCTCCCAGGAACAGCCTTTGGCTGCAGAGAATCAAGTCCAAAATGTAGTCAACAAAAACTGTAACTATAATCAAGGCAAAATGAGGTAATTACTCCGACAGGACAGGAGCAAGAATTCCAGATGTGAAAGCACAGCAATAACTCAACACGGTTGGGAAGATGCCAGGAACACAGATAAGCAAAGATAAACTCACGTTTGCTCCCAGCAGCTGCTGCACTCAGCATGCATTTCTTTTAAACTCTCTTCACAGCTGTGGCTGATGAAGGGAATCAGGGCCCTTTCCTCCCCCGTAAGCCACCCAACGCATGTTGCTCTCTTCTCCATTCCTCTCTGCGTGCTGTAGGATGAAGAGGGGGTGGGGCTGGGTCTTCCTTTGAACTCCAGCCAGACTTTGTCCTTCTCCAGTTTCCTCCACAGCCAACGGAGCCACACTCCCACTCCCTGTGAGCTGTTTGTCTTTCTCCTCAGACTCTGACAGGGGCATGACCAGGGGTGGGATTCTACTGGTTCGGCCCGGTTCTATAGAACCAGTTGTTATGGTTCCCGGTAGTTCAGAGAACTGGTAAATCGGGCCTCTGGCTGGCCCTGCCCCTCTTCACCCACTCTTCCGCTCCCTGCCCAGTCGGTCCCTATCGCGCATGTGCAACACCATGCGCATGCGTGACATGCCTGCAGTCTGCTTTTGCCTGCCTGCCAGGCCAGCCATTGCTGCCTGCCTTTCGCTGCAGTGGAACAAAAAGCTTGAAAGTCCACGGCCCCTCTCGTCGGGATACAGCTCCTGTCTGCTCACAGGTCAGCCTGTGAGTCACACTAGCCCCTTCCCCACTGTCCCTGGGCCTCCTACAGCCATCTCCGGAGCTCCCCAGGCCTCCCGCAGCCATCTTCGGGGCTACCTGAGCCTCACCCAGCCTGCCTACCTGCGCCCCCCATCCCCGGGCTCGGCTGGCTGGCTTCCCCACTGGGGTGGGCCCCATCCCACTGGTGGCACTGACTGGGGCCTCCCTACCTGCCCCCCCAATCCCTGGGCTCGGCTGGTGGCCTACCCTGCACTCTCCCAGCTCTCCCTACCATGTGGCAGCCTCCCGTAAGAAGCGCCATCACTGCAGCACCTCTGCCGCCTCTGCCACTTCCACCTGCTTCTTTTCATTTTGCTGCCATCGCCCCAACCACCTCTGCTGCTTCTACCGGGCCAAAATGAAAGAAAGCGGGCAGAGGCGGCTACCTCCCGTAAGAAGCGCCATCACTGCAGGACCATCTGCTTCCTCTGCCACCTCCACCTGTTTCCTTTCGTTTTGCCACCACTGCCCCAGCTGCCTCTGCTGCATCTACCAGGAGCAAAATGAAAAGAAGCAGGCGGAGGCGGCCGTCATCTCCACCCATCCGCTTTCTTTCGTTTTGCTGCTGATGCCGCCGACACCTGCAGACAGAGGTACTGTACCGTACCGGAGGGCTTGGGGTGCTCCATGGCCCCGCTACCACAGCACACCTCCCCTCCTTTCTTCCTTTTCCCACCACCCGCTGCTATCTGGAGCTCACAGGATCATTCGGTTCATCCCAGACCAGGTTTGTGTGTGTGTGTGTGTGTGTGTGTCTGTGTGTGTGAGAGAGAGAGAGAGAGAGAAAGAGAGAAAGAGAGAGAGAAAGAAAGAAAGAAAG